ATATAGAAATTTTAGTGACAGATGTCCGCAATTGTAAGAACTGGACTTTTGTTTGGTTTCATAAGTGTAATATATGTTAACATTTCCGTTAGAATTAAGATATTTAACTAATTCTACAGGCGGTTTCAAATTTCCGTAACCATCAAAGTAGAAAGCCTTAGTTTTGTCCTTTATGTAGCTGACCCAATGAGTTCCCTGGTTTTTCTCACTATCCAAGTTAACAATTCCGCATTCTTCAATTTTAATTTTTCGCGGTAAATTATCACGCATAAAAACGCCCCTGAAATGCGGAATTTGTAGTATTTTTGCACATTTTTCCAGATCGAAATTTGTCAAAGCTCTTCGAGGTAAATTTATTTGGACTTTTTTTTTCTCTTTTGGGTATTTTTCTCCTTCGACACAACACCGCCCTTATATGGTTTAATATAAAGACCTTTTCCTTCACTTCTACTGTTTTTAAACGGTTTTACGTATAGTCCTTTGCCTTGGGCTTCGATGGCTCTGTTATGACGTTCTTGTTCTGCCAACTGCTCTTTGGCCGCTTTAGCATCGTTTACTGCTTTCGCGATACCTGCCGCTCCTCCGCCTAGCGCGCCAAGTGCTCCCAATATCGGTAGTAAAAGAGGTAAAAATCCACCAATTTTATTAGGTGTTTTTATAATACGCTTTTTTTTGCTCGCTTTCATTTTGCTTGCTTTTTTAACACCCATTCCCAATTTTCGCTTTCCTTTCATTACACCTGTTATGCCTAAAGCGGCTGTTTTTTCTCCAAACGAAGAGTCCTTTGCTTTAACCCTCTGCCAAGCTTTATCTTCAAAGATCTTGTCTGCTTCGTGTCTCTTTGTTAAATTGTTAGACTGAGAGTATGCTATATCGTGCTCTTTACAAGCAGCGTCTAAGGGATTTATACCTGGATCACCTCTATTTATTCTCTTCTGTAAATGAGTACCCGGTCCGCAGAATTGGTAACCAGGAATATGCAGTTCGATAGGAAGTTTGTTTATAAGTTTATTTACCAATCCTGAACCTTTCGCCCTGTTTCGATGTACAATCATGAGAGTGTTTGGAAATACTGTTTAAATATTTAGGAATTATGCTATAAATACTTTTGCAGGTTCTTGTTAATGCCTCAGTCGAAATGAAAGTTGTTAAGCAAGCCTTTTCTTTACCCGTAAAAAACCACGACGCAAGCTTGGTCCGCGAATTTCAAAAGCACGGCGATCTCTTTGGAGGTAGTTGCAAGAGGGCACTAATTGTAGGACCCTCAAATTCGGGTAAAACCAACGTCATGTTATCATTGCTCGAACATCCTAATGGAATTAGATTTGAAAACGTTTACTTATATTCCAAATCCCTGCAACAGCCAAAATACGTGTATTTGAGAGAACTGCTAAAGCCTTTACAAGAGATTGGCTTTTTTGAGTTTGAGATCGATGAGAATATCGTTTCTCCTCAGGAAATTAAACCCAATTCTGTTATAATATTTGATGATATTCCTTGTCACGACCAAAGTGTCATTAGAGATTATTTCACTCACGGTAGGCATAAAAACACCGATTGTTTCTTTATTTTTCAAGGATATTCTTCTATACTCAAGCGACTTATCAGGGAAAACGCCAACCTTCTGATTTTATTCAAGCAAGACATGATGAGTTTAAAGCATATATATAACGATCACTGTATGTTGGACATGTCATTTGAACAGTTTAGAAATATCTGTGTGTACTGCTGGAACGAACCTTATAATTTTCTTGTGATTGACAAAGATTGTGAGTTAGATAAGGGCAGATATAGGAAAAACTTCGATTCCTTCATTTATATATAATATCCCAAAATGGATAAACGCCTAGCGACGGAGCTAATAAAATCAAGAAACGCAGTTAGAGAAAAATATCAAAGGCTAAAACAAGCCGCAAGTGAATCCCAGACGCAACTCGAACAAACCTATAAACCGATAACTCAGCCTCTGCAGCAATTAATTTCATCAATAAATAAAACGGATATCAAACAAGAACCGTTTGAAGAAAAAGAAAATATTAAACATGAAGTGTTAACCTCGACGCCTACCAAAATAAAGGAGAAAAGAACCGGAAAAACCCCAATCTTACCTTCAGAATTGCCCTCATTTTTTGATACCTCCTTTCCGTCGATCCAACAACAAAGCAATGTTGTAGCTGAAAGTACGGGTCTTTCGGACAGCGATACTACGTTGGGAAATCTGTCAGATATTTTAGAACAAACTAAGCAAGCTATACAGGATTACGTCGACACTCCCGCTTACGAGCAATGGTTGAATGACTTTAATAAATTACCACGAACATACATTGATGACAGCGTAAAAGATACCCAACATATATTTGACCATAATTATGGTATCGTTCATGACATAGAAAACGATAAATTTTTTCTGGGCTTAACCCAAAAAGCTGTGGAAATTGTCGGTAAAGATGTGAAGGTACAAGGTATTACATACCCTGGGACTGTGGGTTTGTATGAGTTACTTTTCAAGAAGGTGCCGGTCGGTTTCAAATCGCAAGATCTAGATAATTATATGGATATACTGAAAAGAACAAACGCGTATCGGAGAAACCATGACCCTAATGGACAAGTGCAAGGAAATGCATCATATAAATATATAAATATAATTGGACCTTATTTACAGGAGCGAGGAATAACAAAAACAAAAAACCCGGTGAGACGACTAGCTGACGCATTTTCTAAAGTGCCTCCGCCTTATAGGACAATCAAAACTGGGACGGGGTTAACTTTAAAATCAAATAAAGAAAATACAGATTATATTTATTGGGATAATGTTAACGAGCTTGTCGATAGATTAAGACTGTTATTGGCATCTACTGCTGCGGGGCACACGGGACATGAGAACGAAATAGCTTCAATTATTGAAGAACTAAGAGAGGGAAAAGTTATCTTATAAAATAAGCACGACTGAGAGTTAGAAAATTATTTGAGTAACAACCGCTGTCATGACTATTAATAAATTTGGTACACACATTAATCACCACCTTAACGAGAAATACGATAATTCAATGAAGGAGTTGGAAAAACATTTATCCAAAATAGAAGAGCTTGAGAAGACATTAAAGAGCTATCAGGCAGATATCAATTCCCAACTTAATAAACTTTTGCCACAACAAAACCGATATACACAATGGGTGAACAAATACAATACGAGTTTGGACCAAATAAATCAGTTAGCGACAACAACTAATGAATGATTTAAAATGGTGTTTAATTCAAATTGACGGGCAATCGACAAAGTAATGAGCAGTGAGAAAGCACAACTCGTCCGAGAGCTGCACAAGCCGGCACGCAGAAATTACGTGCGTCGCAGAACTATAATACGAGGGCTGGATGATTTGTGGCAAGCGGATTTGGCTCAGCTAGACCGATATGCGAAACAAAATAAAAACTTTAAATTCATACTAGTCGTGATGGATTGCTTTTCAAAATACGTGTGGTGTCGACCGTTAAAAACAAAAACCGGTGTTGAAGTTACCAAAGCGTTTACCCAAATTCTCAAAGAAGGACGCCGGCCGCAAAATCTGCAAACTGATCTCGGCAAAGAGTTTTATAATATCCATTTTAAAAAAATGACGGGTAGGTTTGACATAAATCACTACAGTACATATAGCAACGTGAAAGCTGCCGTAGCCGAGAGAGTTATACGTACTCTCAAGGAAAAATTATTTAGATATTTTTCGTTAAACGGCACCTACAAATGGATAGATGTTTTATCCTCTGTTGTCGAAAAATATAACAGTAACGTGCACAGGACCACCGGAATGAAACCTAAAGAAGTGAACAAAGATAACGCGCCTAGTTTGCTGAAATCAGCGTACAGTCACTTGAAAATTGTAGGACCATCTAAACTTAAACTGGACGACGTTGTAAGAATCAGCAAGACCAAGCACGTGTTTAGCAAAGGTTATACTCCCAACTGGACCACGGAATTGTTTAAAATCGTAAAAGTGCAGATTACAAATCCGGTAACTTATCTGTTGGAAGATATGAAGGGTAAGCCTGTAATGGGCGCTTTTTACCAGGAAGAATTGCAGAAAACCGTTAACCCTGACGTCTATCTCGTCGAAAAGGTGTTGCGCAAACGAGGAAATAAGGTTCTCGTGCGCTGGTTGGGCTTGGACAAGTCACATGATTCATGGATCGACACCGCGAATATCCTATAAATTTCTTCTATTATTTTTGATTTTGTGAGCGTCCGAGACAGACATGGAACAAATTGTGTTGCCGGATAATTTTTTAAATTTATTGCAAGAGAATGGTTTGATGGGTCCACCGCCTTCGCAGCCACCAACAGATATTCCAAAACGTAAGCGTACTGCTGCAAATTCACGAGTTAAGAAAATAAAAATTGAATCTCTACCGCAAGCACAAGGAGAATGGTTAGAGGCGTTCAAAGATGACAACGAAAAAAGGATAGTTTGTGAGGCGTTCAATTTGAAAAACAATTTGGAAAATCAGCTGATGCAATGTGAAGAAGGTATCCAGCAGCTCGAAACTCAGATAGCAGTTGTTCAGGCCGATCTCCAAATACTGCGCTTACGTGCGGAAGAATACAAAGCAAAAATCGGATATTTCCAAAATTTGGCTCCAGGACATATTGTATAAAAACGAAAAAATATTCAGTAACTGTATTTTGATATAAAAATAAAATCGCGTTAAAATATTTTTATTTTATTTCAAATGTTAGCCAGGACGCTTTTGGTCAGATTTAAATTAGGTCTAAAATATCTATGGAACAGCTCTCGAACAGGTCTAGGACAGCCTTAAACAGACCCAAAACCTCTACGGAACAGGTTTCTACAGGTCCGACACAGATATGGACCATTTTGCTTGTTTAAACAGGAATGTTTATTTCGCATTGCGATCGAACAATTATTTTTGGTGACGCAAAGTATAACATACTGACAAAATGAAATTACGGAGTGAGATTTTTTTTTTTTGCGTTTTTGTTCGCGTCGAAGGAAATGCGACGATAAACTCGATGTCGAAGGAAACGCATGCGGTAAGAATATCAAACGTTTCGATTAAACCATTTCTTGTGTCGCAGGAAAACACGTATGCCGTTCCTAAGCGGTCTAATATGAAAGTCTCGTTTAAAACATTTTTTTTTGCGGCGAAGGCAGGCGACGCGATGATCTCACCCGCCAAAGTTTAGTTTAAACATTTCGCAAAGCGATGATGTCATGCATCCGCTGCCGCACACCGACGACGCGGCGGGCAATGATATCAGCCAGTTGTCAAACGCGACGGCGGCGGTACGCCTGAGTCATCGCACACAATCGCGCTGCAATTTACATTCACGCCGCGACCAACGGTCGAGTTTCGAAGCGAAGCGGCCCCATACGACGACGGTTTGGTTAGGTTAGGTCGGTAACTACGACCAATTTTATCAGCGGGTCGCGTTATATTGCGGAATTCTCGCCAACACAAATCTTAATTATTCTGAAGGAACGTTCTCGAATGTAATTTTAAATTCATTACCCCAGAAAAATTGGCTAAATTAACAAGTGACCGCCGCCATAGTGAGACTTCATTCTTTGGATTTTTGTTTGTGTTTCACCACTTAAAAAAGGTAAGTGTCAAGTAGAGATCTGGAACAGTTGGAGAGTGAGACGCCTATAGCTCGCAGCAAATAAAAATGTTCACCTGCGAATATTGCAACCGCTCGTTCAGCCGTAAAGACCACCTGGCGAGGCACGGGGACTGTCGCGCAGCAGTACAAATTTGTGACGTTTGCGGCGGGATATACAAATCCGAGGGGGCTCTCCGACGCCATAAACGCGAGAAGCATGAGGTTCCCAATTCGAAAAGACCCGCCGCCGCCCCTATTGCTGCAGACGAACCCAAGCGCCCGAGACTTGACCTACCGGAAGGTAAGGATTTTTGATTTTATATCCCAAACAATTCTCATATTGTATTTTATAGCTTCGACATCATCATCATCACCATCATCCACGCGCCATTGTACGCAGTGTAACTTGACCATTCCTGCAATGAGATGGCAAGGACACTTGCGTACTTTGGCTCACCGCCAAAAATGCAGCGTGGTGCAGGAGCCAGGAGTAGAAATGATACAGACCTCCTTCCGTAACCGCATAGTTACATACCGTCTGGCGTCCACCATTAACCCTACCGACGTTAAGGGCTTCTTGGACCACCTTAGGTCCAAAATCCTTACGTTGGTAGAGTCGAACGTCCGACGCTACGGCAACGTAAAAGTCGGTATGGAGCTATTCGGAAACTTCCTCTTGCAGACGAAGGAACAAGAGGAGGTCAAGTCCTTCAATACCAAATATCGGCTGGTGAGCGGAAACACCGATCTGGAGGAGCTATACGTCCAGTTCGTCGACATCTTGGCTACCAAAGCGTCCGAGTTTCAGGAAAGGGACAGCGGTATGATTCATAAAAATGTATATTTCCGAACTAATTTCTTTCTCTTTTTTACAGGCTGGGCGTTGGAGGAACTTCTCCATTTAGAAATAGGGATTAACAAGTACAATCCCCTAAGGGCGTCGTCCTATGTTAACCTGCCCAAGGAAATCGAAGCCAAAAAAGCTGTTTTGAACTTGCAAAATACGCACGAAAAATGCTTTATGTGGTCGATCTTGGCTGCTCTTCACCCAATTCACTGGACAAATAACGCTAACAGGGTCAGTAACTATGTAGAATTTCAGAACGAGCTGGATTTTACAGGTATCGATTTTCCCGTTAAACTTAAGGACATATCCACTTTTGAACGACTTAATGAAATTTCGGTCAATGTCTATGGCCTCGAGAGAGTCTATAACAAAGTCCGTAATGATGTTGAGGTCGTTGGTCCTTTGCATTTTACTGAATCTCGTAAAGAGAGACATGTAAACCTATTATTAATTAGTAATGACTATGGAGAAAATCATTATTGTTTAATAAGAAGTATGTCTCGGTTGGTTTCAAAACAATTAACTAAAAGGTCCTCTGCAAAGTTTTTATGCGATGGGTGTTTGGTTTATTTTTATAACGAAGAAAAACTAAAGCGTCATAAAGAACACGACTGCACTCACATTTCCATCAAACTTCCGACCACCGAATTGCGCAAGGATAAATACGGTAAAGATGTTCCCGCGAATAAGCTGAAATTTGAAGAATTTGAAAAGAAATTAAAAGTTCCTTTTGTTGTGTACGCGGACTTTGAAACAGTCATGACTCCTTTACAGGTGGAAGGCGAACCGAATCCCGACAAATCGTTTACCGTCAAAACTCATATTCACGAGCCTTACTCTTTCGCCTACTTTGTCAAATGTGACTTTGACGATTCCCAGTCTACTTTTAAACAGTACAGAGGTCGGGGCGCACACAAAATTTTCATTGAATGGTTGGAGAGCGACTGCAAAGCGCTCTACAACAAGTTCATGAAAACTTCCGTGCCCATGACCACTCTATCGTTTGAACAAGAGACCGGCTTTCGAAACGCTGTGGCTTGTCACATTTGCGAGAAGCCATTTAATGCAGAGGATGAAAAAGTAAGGGATCATTGTCATATGACAGGCGAATTTCGATGTGCGGCTCACTTCACTTGCAACTTGAATTTCAAAGTTCCGCGGCACATCCCTGTCTTTTTTCACCATTTAGGTTTCGACAGTCATTTATTTGTAAAAGTTATGGCTGAAGAAGGGGAAAAGTTCGATGTCATCGCCCAAAACAAGGAACGTTACATTTCCTTTACGAAACATGTCCTAGTCGATAACATTGAGTCGGAGAAAGGAGGCAAAGGGAAAAGGGTATTTTTAAAACTCCGATTTTTAGATTCATTTCGATTTATGGCATCCAGTTTGGACAGATTGAGTCGAAATTTGAACGATAGTCAGTGTCGGGAAGTCAAAAAATTTTTTAAAAATGAACAAGAATTTCAACTTATTCGACAGAAGGGCGTTTTTCCATATACGTATCTAGATTCTTTTTCAAAATTAGACGAAACCAAACTGCCATCGCACGAGGACTTTTATGACTCCATGCGAAAGAGCAACATAACCAGGGAGGATTACAAGCGTGCCTGGACTGTGTGGAATTTGTTCAAATGTAAAACTTTAGGCGAATATTCAGATATTTATTTAAAATCCGACGTTTTACTTTTAGCCGATATTTTTGAAAACTTCAGAGAGGTGTGTCTGAAAACGTACGGTCTGGACCCGAGTCAGTTTTATACGACACCGGGTCTATCATGGACGAGCGCCCTGAAGGCGACAAAGGTCGAACTGGACCTGTTGACCGACGTGGACATGATACACTTCTTGAAGCACGGTATCCGCGGAGGAGTCAGTCAGTGTAGTGTGAGAAAGGCCGCGGCTAATAATAAATTTTTACCTAATTACGACCCTTCCAAACCTATTTCTTACGTCATGTACTTGGACGCTACCAATTTATACGGGGCGGCCATGTCACAATACCTCCCAACGGGAAACTTCGAGTGGTTGGAGGAGGGCAAAATTCAAAATTTAGATATTACGCGTATCCCCAACGATTCACCTAGGGGCTATATTTTCGAAGTAGATTTGGACTATCCGGAAGTGCTGCATGACGCACACAACGAACTGCCTTTTTGCCCGGAATCCATCGTTTCGCCAATCGCGAAAACCAAAGTGAGAAAACTTATTCCAAATTTAAACAATAAACGTAATTATGTATTGCATTATAGGAATCTGCAACAGGCTTTAAGCAACGCTTTAAAGCTTGTTCGCATCCATCGCGTTCTTGTTTTCGATCAATCTCCCTGGCTAAAACAATACATAGACTTGAATACGGCGATGCGTAATACAGCTAAAAATAAGTTTGAAAAAGATTTTTTCAAACTTATGAATAACGCTGTGTTTGGAAAAACGATGGAAAATGTGGACAAAAGGGTGGACGTGCGGCTCGTTTCCCATTGGGAAAATATTGGGAAAAGGTTGGGGGCAGAAGCGTTAATCGCGAGACCTAATTTTAAAAATGTCGCCATATTTAGCGAAAATCTAGTAGCTCTCCAGATGGAAAGGACTAAAGTCGTATATGATAAGCCTATTTACGCCGGATTTTGCATTTTGGACATATCCAAGACTCTCATATACGACTTTTTTTACGGCTATCTAAAGGCTAAGTACGGCGACAAAGCCGTCTTACTCTACACCGATACCGACAGCCTCGTTGTCCAAATTTTTTGCGAAAATTTCTACGAAGATATGAAAGAAAATTTGGACAAATTCGATACTTCTAATTACTCGGAGAACAACCAACACGGCATTCCTGTAAACAAGTCCGTTCTTGGTAAAATGAAGGACGAGTACGCAGGACGGCCGTTGTGGGAATTCTTGGGTACGGGAGCGAAAGCTTATTGCGTAAATGTGGACGGCAACGAGTTGACCACATTTACATGATATGTACGTCGAACTGAAAAATAAGGTGGCGTTGTCTTACGCGGATGACAAACGACATCTTATACCCGGCTCAGAGTACACGCTAGCTTGGGGCCATCGAAATTTAGTTGGTTCAAAGGACAGCGGGAAAATCACTGATTGATCGACCACCAGATATTTCTTTTGGCAAACTAATATGTTACGATTCCTTTAGATGATTGTAGTTTATATTTGTGTTTAATTTATGTATCTATTTATGTCCATATATGCTATTTATATATGCATATCGTTCGAATATATTTATTAATATGTGTCTATCCTGATGGGGTTTTGTATATGATTAATAAAACAATTTGTTCGATATTAGTGTCATTAAACGTCTTTTTCCCTGTTGCATTTTATTTAATCCGCAAAAAAAAAAAATGTTGTCAATAAATTATTATATTTTAAGCGACCTCGACGACCTTTTATTAGTTGAATTCTCTTATCGTCGCCGCCGAAATCGTCGTCGGCTAGGCTCGGCTAGGCTCGACTAACGTAGCGCGCGGGGTTCAAGGTTCGAATCCCCCGACCGCGCGCGACACACCGGTCGCTTTTTTCACCTCGCGCAAAAATACGTCAAAACAAAAAGGCACTAACGCAAAAACTACCCCTAGCGGGGCGAAATTGCCAAAAAGGCACTAACGCGAAAACTACCCCCTACCCCCCATTCAGGGTGACATCTGGCGATCGAAACCTGAGCTCTTAATGGGTGGCGACATCTCTCGTAGAATGGTCAAACTATTTTTATTTTATTTTTTTCGGTTGCTTGGGAATCTGTAAATTTGCAATCACATAATCTCCCCCGGGGGACGGGGGATGGTCAAGTCACGAATAATTACTACTGTCATTATATTTTTATAAATTTACTTACTCAATCCCCATATTTGAGAAAAATTTCTGGGCTGAGCTGTTAATTAAAAAATATATATTTTAAGCAAAATAATGGCCGTTTGCAGTAGGTAGGTTTCGAACCTACGCTGCCATAGAGATTCTGATTATAAGTCAGATGCCTTAAAAGACAGACCAAGGCTAAATCTGTTTGAAAGTAGAACTATCTCTGGTGATGTGCCATTTGAAATATAAGGGCATTATATTGTTTTAAATTTATGAACTCAATCCCCAGAATTGACCAAATTTTCTGGACTGAGTTGATAATTACGAAAATTATATTTCAAGCAAATCAATGGTCGTTTGCAGTAGGTAGGTTCCGAACCTATTCTGATAGAGAATCTGGTTTCTAGTCAGACGCATTAACCGACAGACCAAGGCTAAATCTGTTTGAAAGTCGAACTATTTCTGGTGATGTGCCATGCATTGAAATATAAGGCCATTATATTTTTATAAATTTATGTACTCAATCCCCATATTTTAGGAAAATTTCTGGGCTGAGCTGTTAATTAAAAAATATGTATTTTAAGCAAAACAATTTCCGTTTGCAGTACGTAGGTTTCGAACCTTCGCTGCCATAGAGAATCTGATTTCCAGTCAGACGCCTTAACCGACAGTCTAGAGCTAAATCTGTATGAAAATAGAAATATTTCTGGCGATGTGCCATTTGAAATATAAGGGCATTATATTGTCATATATTTATGCACTCAATCCCCATAATTGACAAATTTTCTTGGCTGAGCTGCTAATTACAAAAATTATATTTCAAGCAAAACAATGGTCGTTTGCAGCAGGTAGGTTTCGAACCTACGCTGCCATGGGGAATCTGATATCTAGTCAGACGCCTTAACCGACAGACCAAGGCTAAATCTGTTTGAAAGTCGAACTAGTTCTGGTGACGTCCCATGCGTTGCAATATAAGTTAATTATATTTTTATAAATTTATGTACTCATTCCCCATATTTGAGAAAAATTTCTGGGCTGAGCTGTTAATTAAAAAATATATATTTCAAGCAAAATAAATGGTCGTTTGCAGTAGGTAGGTTTCGAATCTACGCTGCCATGTTGAATCTGATTTCAATTCAGACGCCTCAACCGACAGACCAGGGCTAAATCTGTTTGAAAGTAGAACTATTTCTGGTGATGTGCTATTTGAAATATAAGGGCATTATATTGTTTTAAATGTATGCACTCAATCCCTATAATTGACAAAATTTTCTGGACTGAGCTGCTAATTACAAAAATTATATTCCAAGCAAAACAAATGGTCGTTTGCAGTAGGTAGGTTTCGAACTTACGCTGATAGAGGATCTGATTTCTAGTCAGACGCCTTTACCGACAGACCAAATCTAAATCTGTTTGAAAGTGGAACTATTTCTGGTGATGTGCCATGCGTTGAAATATAAGGCCATTATATTTTTATAAATTTATGTACTCAGTCCCCATATTTGAGAAAAATTTCTGGGCTGAGCTGTAAATTAAAAAATAAAGATTTCAAGCAAAATAATTTCTGTTTGCAGTAGGTAGGTTTCGAACCTACGCTGACATGGAGAATCTGATTTCTCGTCAGAAGCCTTAACCGACAGACCAAGGCTAAATCTGTTTGAAAGTCGAACTATTTCTGGTGATGTGCCATGCGTTGAAATATAAGGCCATTATATTTTTATAAATTTATGTATTGAATCCCCATATTTGAGAAATATTTCTGGGCTGAGCTGTTAATTAAAAAATATATATTTCAAGCAAAACAATGGCCGTTTGCAGTAGGTAGGTTTCGAACCTACTCTGCCATAGAGAATCTGATTTCTAGTCAGACGCCTTAACCGACAGACCAAGGCTAAATCTGTTTGAAAGTCGAACTATTTCTGGTGATGTGCCATGCGTTGAAATATAAGGCCAATTTATTTTTAAAAATTTATGTAATCAATCCCCATATTTTATAAAAATTTCTGGGCTGAGCTGTTAATTAAAAAATATATATTTCAAATAAAACAATGGCCGTTCGCAGTAGGTAGGTTTCGAACTTAAGCTGCCATAGAGAATCTGATTTCTAGTCAGACGCCTTAACCAACAGACCAATGCTTAATCTGTTTGAAAGTCGAACTTTTTCTGGTGATGTGCCATGCGTTGAAATATAAGTCCATTATATTTTTATAAATTTATGTACTCAATCTCAATATTTGAGAAAAATTTCTGGGCTGGGCTGTTAATTAAAAAATATATATTTCAAGCAAAACAATGGCCGTTTGCAGTAGGTAGGTTTGGAAC